AGGGATCAACTCTTTTAATGCTCTTGTGAATGATATATATATATGATACGTTGTTATGATATTCCGTTGTAAAAGATTCTTCTGCGATTATTTTCAATTATCTTCTTTGGTCGTTCGGATTAGGAAGATGAGAATCTCTGTCAATAAAGTCTCTAAATATCCTTTATCAACTATTCTTCCCTACTCTTCACATTTCGCTAAACTTTACGAATGATAATCTTAATTTTACCACAAATTTATTATTCACATATACATAACATCCCTATACGAGAGAGAAAGAAAACAAAAGATTACGTCCCTTTCGTTTATAAAATCTCCAAATAAAAACTTTAATATATACACTCTCGACAAAAGGTAGACAGATGTCACCCGTGTCGCTCGCTCGAAACTCGCAACAAAACTCGCAAGGTTCGCGCGATATAAGCTTTTGGCACGATATAGGATTTCGGAGAAGAGGAGAAAAATGTAAGAAACGAGGAAGAGGAGGAGGTGGAAAGAGAAAGGAGGTATCTGCGGCGAAGGGAAGGGGGAGAGAAGCCGTTTAGCGATATTTCACGGAGCTCTCGTTCGTAAGGGTTTCTAGCCGCGCACGGTATTACCGGAGCCAGTCTTGCAAACTCGAGATAAGGGCGGACCCGGTTCCCAGTTCCCGACACCGGCAACCGTCGTAGCTAAGGAGACGAGGTGCATCCTCGTGCACGGGGCAGAAGAGGACAGGAGGAGGATCCTCTAGGAAGAGAGCCGCCACGCACTGCAACGTCTCGTCTCGCGCCATCCCTGAAATGAAATTGGTTAATATCCTCCCTCCCCCCTCTTATCCATCCTCGCCGTTCATTTTCTTTCATCCGCTCCCTTTTCCTCGAAAAATTTCCTTCTTCCACTTCTTTCTCTCCGATTCTTTTTCTCATATATAATAAAATATATATATATATATATTCTTTTATTTCTTGGATAGGTAATATAGATGAATATTGTGATAATATGATGTTTCGATTTAGTTAGAGGTACTTAAAGATGTGAAAGATTGTTGAGTAATAAATTAATTATCGCAACAATTATGGAGATGTAACGGAGAGAATTTTTCAAAAGTTCTACGATACGCCATTCATTCTTCCTTCTTCTTTCTTTTTTTTTTTTTTTTCGAAACGATCGTGGCGCTCTTGTTACGTTGGAGAGAAGTTGGAGAGAATCGATTCCGGTGCTCATGCTCGGTTAATTAGCGACCATTTAAGTGCACGTGCACCTCGAGCCTACAGCTAATCCCTGCAATTTTTGCCGAAGGGAAGGACGGGCCGAGCTGTCCTACCAATTAAAAAGAAAAAACCTCAGAGACACCCTTCCCCAAAGAACTCGTTATTTACACCGCAAAAGAGGCGCACGTGCTCGTCCAATTCTGTGTACCCGTAATCCTCTCTTAATCACTCGGATGTGCACTAACAGGTGCAAACCAATTGTCCATCCCTTCTCTCCGTTCGTACGAAGTCACACGGGCACACTCGGTATCCTTTCTTCTTTTCTTTTTTTTTTTCTTCTCTCTCTTTTCTTTTGATTACACGTTTTATTATTTTAAAGAGAATTGTAATTTTTAGAAATATATGTTATTAATATAATTAATAATATTTCAGAATCAGAAATATAATATATATTATAGGTTATATTATAGATTAGAGAAATATTATTTTAATTCGCATCTTATTATTATTATTACCAACACAACTCGTCGAACTTAAAAAAAAAAAAACTTAAAGAAAACCGTTCCTTACCTATTGTATTTTACTATAACTCATCGAACCAAAAACGCTTGAAAAAGATTAGATCAGTTGTTCACTGTACAACCCCTTTTCAAACTCGCTTTTCCATTAAAAAAAAAAAAAAAAAAAAAAAAAAAAAAAAAAAAAAAAAAAACAAAATCCAAACGAGTTTTCACCAGTTGTCCGAGCTGCACGAGCTTCTCCGACAAACTCAAACAAACAAACAAACAAACAAAAAAAAAACTCCCGAGTTGTCCAAAACTTAGAAACAAACTTCAAACAAGGCTGCTCAAACGTCGCCCAATATTGCACTCTTCTCATCTCTCGAAGAGTCCAAACAAACTTTAATCGTGTTCTTCTCACCTTCGAAGAAAGGAAAGGAGAAAAGGAAAAAAAAAAAAAAAAAAAAAAAAAGAAAAAGAAAAACTTGTCCAAGCCCCTCCCCCCTCCCCCTAATATAAAAAAAAGCAAACGAGGTTTCGTCCCATTCCACCCGTTATATTCCACCCACATTAATGAACGCGACCACCTTGAATTGGCAAACGGATGAACGACCAGCCAGAGTCAGTCCGTAAGAGCGAACTCGAGCCGAAGAACACAGAGACAAAGAGACAAAGAGAGTTCCACAACTCCACGGTGAGAGAGAGAGAGAGAGAGAGAGGGAGATAGGGAGGGAGAAGAGGAAACGAGAGGGTGGCCGGGGTAAGAGGGAGCCGAGAGCCGCCAAAAGGGGTTCCTCTCTCTCTCTCTCTCTCTCTCTCTCTATGTCTCCGCTTTTGCCCTCTCCGAAGGGACTCTCCCACTCACGGCCACCCGTTAACTCAGGCATTTGTACGCGTGCACGGTGACACGCGTCCCTGCATTCGAATGCCTTTGCACGCGTGTCCTCGTCCTTCATGCGTATCTGATAAGCCATTGACGGCTGGATGATCTGACGCGATTATACGGGGCCCTCCCTCCCCCGCCCCCTCCTATTGTATTATCTCCTTTCCTCCTCGTTGTGTCCGTCTCATCTTTTCTTTCTTTCTTTCTTTTTTTNTAATTTTTTTTTTTTTTTTTTTTGGAAAGTTTTAAAAGTTTTGCCGCAGTTAAGTAGCTTTGAGATTGACGAGGAACGTCTCCTGGTTTCTACCTGTGGAATAAGTTTGTGTATTTTTATATGCAGAGAAAGTAGTTTTATGAAGAAAGAAGAAAGAGAGGGGAAGATTATTTTAAGGCGATGAATTTGAATCTTGGAACTGAGTTGTTCCAATCTATTATTTGTGATCAGTAAAAAGAATAAGATATAGAATAGAAAAGTGATTTGTGATGTCAGTTTGTTGGATTTTGAAAATAGAATATTGTCAGCTTAACATTGAAGTTGTATTTTATATGCAGAGAAAGTAGTTTTACGAAGAAAGAAGAAAGAGAGAGGAAGATTATTTTAAGGGGATGAATTTGAATCTTGGAACTGAGTTGTTCCAATCTATGATTTGTGATCAATAAAAAGAATAAGATATAAAATAGAAAAGTGACTTGTGATGTCAGTTTGGATTCTGAAAATAGAATATTGTCAGCCACATTGAAATTGTATTTTATATGCAGAGAAAGTAGTTTTATGAAGAAAGAAGAAAGAGAGAGGAAGATTATTTTAAGGGGATGAATTTGAATCTTGGAACTGAGTTGTTCCAATCTATGATTCGTGAGTAAAAAGAATAAAATATAGAATAGGAAAATGATGTCAGTTTGTTGGATTCTGAAAATAGAATATTATCAGCCTAACGTGTATTGAAATTGTATTTTTATATACAGAGAAAATAGTTTTATGAAGAAAGAAGAAAGAGAGAGGAAGATTATTTTAAAGGGATGAATTTGATTATTCTTATTCCAATGTAAGAAGAAGAATAAAATATGAAAAAAGTGTATCGAAATGTTCGTATATTGAATGTTTTTCTATGCGAAAAAGAAGGGAGAGTTTTACCTGTTTTTGAAAAACTCGATGATCAAGGTTAAATTGACTACGATGACGTAGGACGTGATAAAGCAGACAGCGATCAACAAGGACAAGCCGAAAATCAATTTCCATTTCAGTGTTCCGTAATTGTTGTGATGCACCAGAATGTAGAGAAAGGCTGGAATAATGATTGATAAAGTCGACGTGCCAAGTGCCCCGACCACGGCCATGAATAAATCCAATTTAGGAATTATCGCCGCCAAAATACCTGTAATTTCGGTTTACGTTTCGGTTAAATTTCCTTTCTCTTCCATATAGAAATTATTTGAACGTTAAGTGTAACCACGAAACACGTGACACTTTTTTTCAACAAGAAATAACTTTTAAAAAGGAAATGAAATGAAATTTATGGTAGCTCTTCCCAGCTAATATCGTTCCGCCTTTCCAAACTTTCAAACTTGAATTATTCATGGAATTATTTGCATTTCCAGATTGTATTAATTAACAATTCGAGCAATTTCCTTTTTTCTCTACATATCGATTTTCCTTCAACCACACAACATTTAAATTTTTCCCAATTTCTCCGATTCAGAGTTTGTTTTGTTATCATTCGATCAATTTACGTTTAAATATAATTATACTCGATGATATTTTTTTTTCTTTCCCCCTAAAATTTCGAAAAACTTAAGAAACAAAAATTGGAGGAATCTTGGAAGAGGAGGGAAAAAATTATCTCGGGGGAGGGAATCGATCGAAGAGAGGGAAAAGTTCGGTCCATCGAACCGTCCCTTATTAGAAACGATGAATACTCTCGCGCCAAGAGTTTCTCTATGGGGAAACTAGGCTATCCATACTAAATTTCCCCAAAATAGATTCTCCAACTTTGGTAATATCTAGCTTGCGATGGACTGCAATCGGATCGATCGATCGATCGATCGATCGATCGAACTTGAGTGATTCAATCCGTGATGCAACCCAACTCCCCCCCTCCTTCGAGTTTACCTCGAAAGCGTGAAAGGGAAAGGGGCCAAGTTTCGGGAGAATTAAATCTACGTGTTTCTCGAGATTTGAAGAGGCAGAGGATGCGCGATAAGAGATTAAGATTAATCCGAAAATATCTCTACGAATAATTTTAAAAAAGACTTTTGCAAAGCTGTCCATACAAGGATATCATAAAAGTTAGAAGGATATCATTAAAAGTTATTTCTTATTAAAAAATAAAAAAACATATATAAATACACGTACACGTGATGAAAGTAACGACCAAACGAATCATCACGTTCCAGAAGAGGTAAATTTTACCACGAGGCTGGTTATCATCGTCTCCTGGCATGATGTACTGATCCAATAAAATGATTATCGGCATGTAACATTGTAGGCCGTACGTGAAGTATATGGAGAGGGCTTGCATCACCAGTGCCAATATCGTCGCTCTAAAACAACGATGATAGACGATTTTCTTTCCTTTTCTGTTTTTTTTTTTCTTTTTTCTTTCTTTTTTTTTTTTTTTTTTCGTCAACGATCGAATATAACTTGTTGGAAAATGTGTTAGAAGGTATGAGTATCGTATCAGAGGAAATTACGGATCGTTCGTGGTGAAGTTTCGAATGAAATTGCCGTTAGAGTCGGGGCCAAATTTCAAATAGCCGATCACACCGACGAAAGTGTGGAAAAGGGTAATGTGCATCATACCGTGGTTCAACACCCCGGTGAATTTCGTGTAATTCCACGGTTTCTTCATGTCGTGCTCCACTTCCAGCATCTAAACAACGTTAATTCAATTTTTGCCGCAAAATTTTCTTTTTCTTTATCTCCTTTTTCTTTAACACAAAATCGAAACACGATATCGTGCTCCCCTTTCGAAATCTTTTAAAAATGCTTTTAAAAATCAGGCGTGTCGAACAAACGTAACGTATCCATGAATTTTAAAATTTAAATAGCTGCAGTATATTGACTGTACAAAGGTACCATAATAAATTGTTTTTTTTAATTGAAGAATTGAATGAATGGATCAATGAAATAATATCTGTCTATAAATTATTTAATGAATTTAAATTTTTAGTTAAAATTCTAAAATTTAATTATGGGACGATAAGACCTTATAGAATTTTATTTAATTTATTGTTTATATATATATGTATTAATTTATAGACTATATAATTTAAATTCGATTGGGAGGATTAATAAATTAAATAAACTTTAAATTAAAATTTAATTTTGATTTAAAGATATATTTTTAGTTATAAATTATAATTGAAAGAATGAATTACCTTAGGGTCAAACAGTAATACGTTTATTTAACTTTTGACAACACTGGATTCTTCAATTAATAATTATAATTAATAAATAAACACGGTGCACGAATCAAATAAACATATTTCAAAGAAAAACATTTATATATAAGGGAAATTACGTAATGTATTATTATGTAAATATGAAGCCTCCCAATGTGTCATTAGCAATTAAAAAAATATTTCATCTATGTTTGGGTAACACGTATTTGTGCGAACAACTTTATTTTCCACTTTGAAAAATAATAAAACTACGGAAAGACCAAGATGAACGGACAAATAATTTTGAAGATAATTACTCAAGCCCGATCGAAATTTTGAAGATTTAATGAAAAAAAGGTTGCCAAGTTTCTTCAAAAAAGAAAAACATTACGAATAATATTATGAATAATATTAAATTGAAAAAAAGAAACTTTTCCACATACGTATTTTTTAACATATTCTGTTATATTATTATTTTGTATATATTTATTTGTAAGCTATGCTTCGTCTTTATTTCCATTTGTTCTCTTTATTTCTTTTTTTTTTTTTTTTGCAGTCCATGATTTAATGTGTAATAAAAAATGGCTTGTATCGAGTTCGACACGCCTGCTGCAATATTTTTGAAATTTAAAAAAATTTCTAGCGCGTGATAAACAAGCTAAGAAGCGACTCACTATTCCAGGGGAGCTTATGCTGAAGAACACGGTCCCAACGAATTTGGGATAAAGGCCGACGTTCTGGTTGATTGTAACCCATTCACCGCCAATCCCGTCTTTCAACGCGTACACAACGGCTATCACAGCAGCGACGAACAGGAACAAGTTTCCAATGATTGAGATGATCGCTATGTCGTTTAAATATTTCATCATGTTCATCACGAAGAAGAATGGGAACAGTATCAACACTATGTATTTGTGATCTATCCCCTCGAAATCGTAGAATTCTTGCACGATCCCGGATATGAACACAACGTACACGGCGCCTACGCCTATGTAACACATTATTATCGAGCTGTCCACCAGACATCTGGAAAAAAAGATTACGATTAGGAATAAACGATTGAATTGATCCATTTACAAATATCAATATATTGTTTACTAATGCATATTAGTAAGAAACATAACGTGGAAATAAAATTTTCTATAAACTTTTTATGATATGGTAATATTAAAAATAAAAATAATTGTTCATTCATACCTTTTAAATTCTATTCTATTTTTAAAAAATTAATTTATTTTTTAATATCTAATATAAATTTTATAAATATAAAAAAAATAATATTCCTTTCTTCTTCGATTTATAAAATAAATATGACAAAAAATTTTAAAAATCAATATTAAATAAGATTCCAGAGATCCAGAGATTTCTGAAGATTTCTCCTTTATCTTTCCATAATGATAATATTGTAAAAAAATAAGGGACCATTTTATAACATTGATGTTGAAATAACAATTTTAATTATTTCGACGAAATCGTTTGTATAATTAAATATTTCGAGTATATAAAGTGGAAAAACGAGAGAACGAAAATTTCTGTTATAAGATGGCCCGTGCATATTTTCTCGATGATTAAAATTGATATACATATACATATGCATATATATATGTAAATTTACAAACGTCGCAATTCGGGAGGACAGCCAAGGCTTTTTGTTGCCTGTGGTCAACGTGGCGACCACCACCTCGTCGTAGTTCAAAATCGGCCTCCTCAAACGGATGCACATCTTGCGATGGATCTTGAGCAAAATGTGAAGGCAGCCAGTGATCAGCAATCCAATGAGAATCGTGCCGGCCACTCCGATCACCAAACCGACGCTCGCGAACGCGTTCGGCATCGCGAACAATCCGGTCCCGATCACGCTTTTAATCAAAGTCGCCAGGGATTTGAAGTTGCTGGATCACACACGAATCGTATGTATATATGAATTACGCATGCGTGGTCATCCGCAAAAGTTTTCTAGAATATCTTTATCTCAATGTGTCGTCGTAGAAAAATTTTTGCGGAGTACGCTAGTGTACTCGAAAATTTCCAATTTTCTATGATTTAATTTAATCGTAACTCTCCTCTAAAATTTTTCTAGAATATTTTTAATTCAATGTGTCGTCGTAGAAAAACGCGATCTTCGACAATTTTCTATAATTTAATTTAATCGTAACTCTTCTCTATAATTTTTCTAGAATATTTTTAATTCAATGTGTCGTCGTAGAAAATTGTAGGCGAAAAATTTTTGTAATGACGATCGATCGTACGCGATCTTTGACAATTTTCTATAATTTAATTTAATCGTAATTCTCCTCTAAAATTTTTCTAGAATATTTTTAATTCAATGTGTCGTCGTAGAAAAACTTTTACAACGCGATCTTCGACAATTTTCTATAATTTAATTTAATCGTAACTTTTCTCTATAATTTTTCTAGAATATTTTTAATTCAATGTGTCGTCGTAGAAAATTGTAGGCGAAAAATTTTTGTAGAAACGATCGATCGTACGCGATCTTTGACAATTTGTATAATTTAATTTAATCGTAATTCCTCTCTAAAATTTTTCTAGAATATTTTTATCTCAATGTCGTCATAGAAAAATTTTTGCGGAGTACGCTAGTGTACTTTCCAATTTTCTATAATTTAATCTAATCGTAACTCTCCTCTAAAATTTTTCTAGAATATTTTTAATTCAATGTGTCGTCGTAGAAAATTGTATGCGAAAAATTTTTGTAGTGACGAACGATCGTACGTGATCTTCGACAATTTTTTATTTAATTTAATTTAATTTAATTCAATTTAATTTAATCATAATTCCGCCCCATAATTTTTCTAGAATATTTTTATCTCAATGTGTCGTGGTAAAAAAATTTTTGCAGAGAATTTTTGAGTAGACTAGTATATACTCTGAAAGCACTCGAAAATTTCTAATTTTCTATAATTTAATTTAATCGTAATTCTTCTCTAAAATTTTTCTAGAATATCTTTATCTCAATGTGTCGTGGTAGAAAAACTGTGCGAAAAACTTTTACAACGCGATCTTCGACAATTTTCTATAATTTAATTTAATCGTAACTCTTCTCTAAAATTTTTCTAGAATATATTTATCTCAATGTGTCGTCATAGAAAACTGTGCGAAAAATTTTTGCAGAGATGATCGATCGTACGCGATCTTCGACAATTTTCTATAATTTAATTTAATCCTAATTCCCCTCCACAATTTTTCTAGAATATCTTTATCTCAATGTATCGTGATAGAAAAACTGTGTGCAGAGACTCGAGTAAACTAGTATACTCTGAAAGTACTCGAAAATTTCCAATTTTCTATAATTTAATTTAATCGTAATTCTATAATTTTTCTAGAATATTTTTATCACAATTTTCTACGATTTAATTTAATCCGTAATTCCGATCACAGTCGAAATTGTAACATTAATTTTCGTAAATTTATAGAAAGGGATCGCGAAAGAGAAACGAAGCGATTTAAAATAATTAATTAATCGAGAGCAGTAGCGTAATACGATATAAAATACGATATAAAATTTTGGAGAGAAATTGTGAAAAGAAATGGTTTTTACGAGACTGGTTTGGCTGGCTTTCGATGGGCGTAAGGATCGTACGGCTCGTCCTGGATTTGTGAGAACACTTGTGGCTCGTCTATCTGTGTTGCGGATCTAAATGTACAACGTTTATAAATAATTTAATGTAAATTACGTAGAGGAGAAAATTTTGAAGAATGGATAAATTTAATAAATAATAAATGAAGAAATGAATTAATAATAAATTAATAAATAATAAATGAAGTGATTACAGGTCGTATTGTTCATCCTGAGTTTGAAAGAATTCTTCGGATTCGCTTATCTGTGCCCCGGATCTACAACATACAATGCGAATAATGATAAACAATTTAATATTTAGAGACAAGAACGAATAAAATGTATTTACACGTTATACAGTTCGTACACTTCGAGATTTTCAGGAGATTTTTCCACTTCGTTCATCCGTGTCTCGGCCCTGTCGTGTACAACGTAAATAATAAAGGGACAAGATGCGTGCAATTTAAGAATAATATATATATTTACTGTTTGTCCTCCTCCTTCCTGTTCAAGGAAGATCCCTCTGATTCTTCGCTCATCCTCGGATCTAAGCGCGTAATAATAACGTATTTACAGGTTATAAGTGAATCTTTATTATTAGAGTAGATCGATATTTAAATTTGAAAAGAAAAAAAAAGAAACTTTTGAATCTATATCAATCGATGAAATAATAATTTTCAAACGAAAGTGTGATATCGTCTTACGTTTTGCGATTCAAAGTTAACCAAAAATAACCAATTTGTCCCAAAAGAAATATACGTAAATACCTCCGAACTTGTCTACGATATCTTAAATACGAATCGATTAATCGTGATTAAATTTTCAAAGCTCGATTCATAAAACGTCCGAAAGAAAAAAAGCTTGAATCAAATGACAAAAGACACGATTTAAAGAATTTTAACCGAAGCGACATTTGCATTGAAAAATCGCAATCAAAAACACTTCATTTCCGAATTTAAACCCAAAAGATACGATTTAACACAATTACATAAAAAATTCTCCTCAAAAAATTATTTCGTTCGATTCAATTCCAAAATAAATTTCTATAACACGATTCTCAAACATTCTCAAACACTTTCCAACAAAAATTCTCTTCAACTCCAATCAAAAAGTACTCGAAAAAAGACTTCATCCTTTAAACTTATATCGACACGATTCAAACATTCTCAAACACCTTCGAACAGAATCACACAAAAAATTTTCTTAGAAAAACTACTTCGATAAAAAAAACTCCCATCAACTTCAAACAAAATTCCATTCTTCAAACTATTAACTTATATATCAAGAAACACGATTCAAACATTTTCAAACACCTTCGAACAGAATCACACGAAAAATTTTCTTAGAAAAACTACTTCATTCGATAAAAAAACTCCCATCAACTCCAAACAAAATTCCATTCTTCAATCTCACATAACAAGAAACACGATTCAAACATTCTCAAACACCTTCGAAGAAAATCACACGAAAAATTTTCTTAGAAAAACTACTTCATTCGATAAAAAAAACTCCCATCAACTCCAAACAAAATTCCATTCTTCAAACTTATATAACAAGAGACACGATTCGAACATTCTCAAACACTTTTCTCAAACAGAAAAATCTTCTTCTTTTTCGATTTCCATTTCCAAGAAAAAAAATCGCCAACATTTCTATCAAAAGAGGGGAAAAAAAAAAACCTCGTCCCCCGAAATCTTCAATCCCTTCAACGCGACAAAAGATTCACGATTCAACTTACTTCGATTTAAAAAAAAAAAAAAAAAAATACCGTTTCAAAAAACATTCGTTTACAAACGACCGCGTCTGTTTCCCGAGGAGAGACGGTTAGGGCCGATCGCTCGACATTAACGCGAATTTATCGCGCAACTAATTTCCAGGGAGGAGGCAGGGACAAGGTGGAAAGACAGAATAAGGCTGGATACCCCCCCGATTCCCCCTGCCCCGGGTATTGTGATCCTCTCGGTCGGGTGGACCGAGCTGACCGACTTAGCGGGAACGCGAGTTCAGTTACGGAGATTTCCTCGGGGGATTTAACGCCTCGCGGCTCCTCACGGATTGGATAAAAGGGATCATCGGCGTGAACCCCGGTTGAATCGTGGTTAAGGCCACGGCGACAAACCGCTTTCTTTTCAACCGGGTTAACCGGGGGGAAGGGAAGGGACGGGATGGGACCGATGACTGAATCATCTTCTTCGTCTTCCATCGGGAATCGAAATTATACACTTGCCTGTGCTTTGCGATAACGTGAGTAACGAGAGTGGTGCGATCTGATCTTGTTCCATCTTGTTCGTATTCATCGATTAGTTATTAATTAGATTAATCTGATTCGATGATGATTCGTTAGTCAAGTTATTGTTTTTTGTGAAAGGGTGAAAGAAAGTTAGGGGAGAATAAGATGTTTTTTTTTTGGATTGTTTGGTATGTATGAAATCAGATAATGATAAACTTGATTGTTGTCGAGTTGTTTAAGTAAAATTAATAGATCACTTCATTTGATCACAATCAAATTTTTTATTTTATATCTGTATGTATATATTTAATTGTTTTAATTCAGTCAATGTGATAGGATTTGGAAAGGATTTCGTTACTATTTAATGAGATATAGAGATTGAAAAAGCTCAATTATTGTGAACGTTTTCATGTTTTGATACGAGGATTAAAATAGTAATAATAATCACCAATTCAATACTTAATCACATCCATTGCATAAGTAAAAAGATTTACATTTACAACGTCAAATACACGTTCAATCTCATAATTCTGATTCGAGAATTTAATAATAACAATAATTAATAATAACAGTGTCTTTTACGTAGATTACAATATTAATATTGGAAAGAAATTTCGTGGAACTTGCACATGTGACAATCCTGACATCACACGCTGAATAGTAATAGAAGAGCTACAATTTGAACATTCAAAAAATCGTAGAAATTATTATTTTCGATTTACGAAGTTACGTTAAGATAATCATCCAAGAAATATTATATTTTATTACCTTAACTCTTAAATACAAAATTATACATTTACAAATTAAACTATCGTCACAAATCGTAAATTATTATCCTAATTTTTATATTACCTCGATACACGATTAGAATTCCGATAATTCTATGCCTATTAAACCATCGAGCTTTAAATACACAGATCGTCGTTTTCGATACGGTCACTGTCCTGCGAGGCCTCTTTCCACCAAGCTTTACATTACACGAAACGAGAATCAAAATTTTTATACTTAAAAACTTATTATTGAATTATCGAGAGGAAATCGATCGAAAAATACTACAACGTTATAAAAGTTGGATAGGTAAATACGTGGCCGCAAAGAACGAAAACTCGACGAGCGTGTCTCGCCAAAGTACCTAGAGGAGAGGGGATAGGTTGATCGAAAGGGAGGAGGGACGATAATGTCGGAGCGACGTCCCGCGGCGCTAGACTGTGACTAAATCCGCGGTGCCCATGCAGTGTTTACACTCGAGATGATGCCTCCTAATGCTAATACGCGGTCTCCCGTACCGGTCTCCATCTCTCTCTCTCTCTCTCTCTCTCTCTCTCTCTCTCTCTCTCTCTCTCTCTCCCTCTCCTCTCTTCAGGTTTCTTAATGCTCAATCGCAATCCAATGAAAAGTGTATGAATGGCAAGCGATTATCAAGTCGAACGGTCGGCCTCAATGTGTCCGACGAGGCGTCCGCGGCAACCCCGCTGCGTTAACCGACGTCCAATCCGGACCAAATGCCACGAATTCGCTTTCCCTCTTTCCCTCTCTTTCCGCCCGATCCATCTCCTCTTTTGCGTCTCGCTTTTCTCTCTCTCTTTTTCTCTCTCTCTCTTCGTCTTCGTCTTTTCTCGAATTGTTTTTATTATTATTATTATTTTTTTTTTGGATTTAATACTCTGTTTGAAATTTAATTTAATACTGTTGTTTGAAATTTGAATGAATGAGGGGAAATAAGAAGTAATTAAGTAATTATTATTATCGTTGGAATGGAATGGCGATTTTGAGCAAGTATGAGCATTAATCAGTCTTGACTTTATCTGAAATGGTTAAATAACAAAATTTATTCGTTAATTTATTTAATTTATAAATAATTTATAATAAATAATTTATAATAAATATATTTACGATGATAATTGATTTTATTCTTTTTTGATTATTTATTAACGGATCGAAAGCACGAATAATGGAAACGTTAGAGGGAATACGAAAATTCAATTTATTTCCACGAGATATTCGTAAAAATATACATCCCTCTGATTAAACGTAGATTCATCGAGGAAAATATCTCCTTGGCCAAGAATAAAATTATTCCGCCGATTAACAATTAACCGATCAATCAAAGACCGATCGAGAACCTCCTTCCCTCCCTCTTCTCGAAAAAAAAAACAAAACTCGAATCGAACGAAAAGCGAATACCTCTGTTGTGCGCGATCTCGTTCGTTCGTTCGAAAAGGAAGGAAAAAAAAAAAAAAAAGAAAGGAGAGAGAAAAAGAGAGAGAGAGAGGAAAAAAAACCAAGCCAAAATTTCAAAATTCTCATTCGTCAATTATCCCGCCGAGCTTTCCTCACTTTTCCATACCGGTGCTCGGCAAAATGGCCGCAAAAGGCCACCACTTCCCTCCCTCCCTCCCTCCCTCCCCCTCCATCCCCGCGAGCCAAGTAACATTTTGACACGAGCCGTTTATCGAGGTTTGCTGGAACGGAAAGCGAAACGCGCGCGCACATACACAGAGAGAGAGAGAGAAAGAGAGAGAGAGAGAGAGAGAGAGATACGCAGAGATTTCGAAAAAATCGTTGTCCGCGAGAAAGAGTTGTTGCCATTGACGTGCGCGCAACCGATCGATTCGAAAGAACGAGAGAAAATAAGGGAGAGAGAGGAAGAGAGAGAGAGAGAGAGAGAGAGGGATGAAAAGACGAAAGGGCCGGAGGCTGGACGCAAAACCAAAACCGTTCCACCGAGCGATTCTGTTTGCCGACACGCACACTGCTCAACGAGAAGGATCGTTTTTCGGAGTCAGTGATTCGAATCGCTTCTCCGCCCGTTCTTTCCCGATGTCCTGGAGGGTAAATTTTGCACGTGCCGCGAGAAGAAATCGGGTCGCCGATCACCTCGATCAGCCCTCGAGTCCTCGAGGAGTCGCCGGCCGACTCTTTTTCCATTCCGCGCATCGTGGAAAATTGTTGGTCGCCGTTTCGAAAGATGGGCGAAAGAGTCGTTCCGCTGCTTGGTTTGAATTGAAATCGGTGAATGAGTATATAATTGAGCTTGAAATATTCGTTGAATTGTATAACTTTGGTCGAGTAAATTAATTCGATTATCTTTCTCTAAATTTTTAGAGAAATTTTTTTTCGTTTATTTTTTAAAATTTTTTTCTCGAAAAATCGACGATTTACATGTGAAAAAATTGATCGAGTTATATTCGATTACTCGATCGAGCTTGTACGGTTAATTAACAGTTATGGTATATTAGATTTAGAAATTAAGAAATTTCGATAAAATAAAAATGAAACGCGAGTTAAATTTCGTTAGGACGGGAGTAT